GCTGGAGAAAAAACTGGGATAAAATGATTAGTTGTACGGTCGTTCAACTGTGAGGTGAAATGAGCCTTACAGATGACACACGTGTTCTTTTTACTGACATTAGCGGAAATTCAACTCAAAGATTCCATGACTCCGATATTTTGATAAGATTTGTTGTTGTTTTAATTAATATTTTGTCACAACTAGCAATAACGTTGTTTGTTCTGTGTTATTAGCTTCTTGTATCCTTGTGATAACAAGTTTGATGATAATATGAATCAATGTTATTACTGTTCTCATTGTTATTACCGAAATAATAGGCTTGTTTTAAAATTGGTATGCGAACTTATTCTTTTTTATCTATATTTCTTCCAGTCTAATTCTTTCACAGCAAAAATTTCGAACTTTCCTGCTTCCTTTGTAAACCCTTTACTGTGGTGAACATTGAATTTTCATAAATTAATTCTAAAAATGAGGATAACAATGAACTTTTTTTAATAAATAAAAAAAACTAAAAAATGCTTTTCCATAAACTGAAACTACCACATAACTTCATATTATTAAGAAATTACATTTGCTAACTTAAAAATTAATCATGATTCACTTTTTTCAAAGAAGGCAGTCAAAGATAGCACAAAAATTTTATGGAATGATTATAAAGATAAGCCATACTAAAATTAAGCAAGTGTCATTTACAGTTGTATGCGGTCGTATAAATTTTGTTATAACTTCATCTTTTGATGAAGAAAGAACTCTTTAATTATATTTTTTGTCAATCGTCAAAACCTTTCCGGTTGAAAATTTTTAAACCTAGTGATTGTTTCAGCTATAAATAATATGAAAAATTTTAGTTCATCTGAATATTTTAATTTAGCTTTGTAAGAGAAATAGAAAAGCACCTAACTGCGGAATGTAACCTTTTCTTATGGACAAGTCAAGCTGTATTATATAACAAGTGACCAAACATTTTTCATGAATTTGTTGCCATTTCACGAATTTGTTGTCATTCTCGTGTATCTTAACTTTTTTACAATATCATCATTTACATTAGCTTAATAAATTGTAGTACTGAAGTCTTCAAGATTAAATTTTTACATGTAAGCGAGTGCAATTTTTTTGAGTTCGAAATTAAATTGATACAGAAACAAAGCAATCAAGTCCAGTTAGTAAGATCATTACTACATCAATTCGTTTGCAATGAACCACCATAAAAATGAGGGAAAGAAATGAATAATTAATAATTTAATTTGTTAAATAATAAAATGATGGAAAGACAATATAAAGACGCGGAAATTTTTGTTTGGAACGAAACTGAAAATGAAGAAAGAAACTGTGAAAACACATAATTTCAGAGCGGGATAGAATGAATGATTAGAGTAGCAATAAAATAGCTAATAACCGAAGTAAAGATAATCTTGATGAGGTGTAAGCTTTATGAGATAGATAGCAGAAAAATATGAACTTGAGTCATTCTGCTGAACAAAATTCCTTCGCATTTTTATTATTTCAAAAAGTAAACGAAGAAAATGAGAGGAAGTGAAAGGACCGATGAGTTCCTTACCAGATGTGTGCATATTTAGATGAATATTGCCGCCGCTGATTATCATCTATCTAGTTGTACTGATCAGGAGCAATAAATGTGAACTGCGTTAAAAAAAATGGAAGTCTTAATTTTATGATCAATGCGTGGCATTCTAATTGTACTAACACAAAAGATTAAGAAAAACAATCGAAAGAATAGAATATGCAAATGAGAGGGAAAGACCATCATTTATATTGTCGAAAATAATCATGACAATAATTACAATATTTTGATTATGACCTAATAGTGCTATTTCCTGCCACTTATCTTAAATTTACCTCATCTCTTTCTCCTTCTAACTACCGATAAAAACAATAATGATTAGGTAATAATGTAAATACAATATTATCATTGATCCATGCTTCCTTATTGTTTACTGAATCAATTATTCTTTAACAGTAATAATCATTAAATGATTGATGAAAATTTTTTCACTTATTATTTAAATTTTTTTTCACTTATTATTTATATTTCACTTTTTAGCTAATGCTACAAATGATGATGGGATTGATAAAATCATTAACGCTATCAAAGTGCATGAGCTATATTTATTTATAAGGACAATATGTTAGTAACTATGAAACAAATAAGTCTTTTTGGGATTATTAAAGTCGAATTTTGAATAAAGTTTGTTCTAAGTCTATTTAATTTTATTCATATTTTTTCACTATTTCCATTTGACAGCGAGAATAATCTAAGAGTTTGCAAAATTAAAAATCTACTCCACTTTTGCCATAATTCAATTAATGAGTAATTTAAGCAGATAATTTAACTATTGTTGAACATTTCAGTCGATGAATATAGTTCAGTTTTTTAATCTCACTTTTGAACTTGCATTGGTTCTAGTCAACAACATAAGCAAAGAGTGCCATCATCCCAAAAAATTCTTTATATTTATTTCATCAGTCAAAATTTCAGAAAAAAAAACATATTTATTTATAAGGACAATATGTTAGTAACTATGAAACAAATAAGAATTTTTAAAAACTATGAAACAAATAATTTTTTTTTTTTAAAGTTTGTTCTAAGTCTATTTAATTTTATTCATATTTTTTCACTATTTCCATTTGACAGCGAGAATAATCTAAGAGTTTGCAAAATTAAAAATCTACTCCACTTTTGCCATAATTCAATTAATGAGTAATTTAAGCAGATAATTTAACTATTGTTGAACATTTCAGTCGATGAATATAGTTCAGTTTTTTAATCTCACTTAATTGATGAATTAATTGTAACTAATTTTCACTTTATATGCATATAAAGTGAAAAATTAGTTACAATTAATTCATCAGTTAATTGATGAATTAATTGTAACTAATTTTTCACTTTATATGCTTACAATCCAACTTGTTCCATTTCAAATTCATTAATTGATTCAGCCATGAAATGGATAAATTTTTAGGGAATGAAAGAAGTATAGTACTTTTTTCATTCTTCTGCGTTATGGAAAAAATTTTTCAACATTTGTTTTAAATGGCAAATCTTAATTGGAATTAACGCAGAAAAAAATGAAATGAGTACAAATGTAACTGCTAGATTTGATGGATGTTGGAAAATGCGCTGCTACTAATAGCTACGGAAAAGTGAGAAAAAGCTCAAGATAGAGTATGATTTAAAACAATATAATTAGCATTTCAAATTAATAAATAAATAAAAGCTATGAATTTGCATCCGATGTAGTTGGCTTACTGCAACCAATGCATATACTTATTCATTTATGTTTTTTTTCTGTATTATCTAAGTGTGCGAAACAACAAGTCTATCTTGCCATTAAATTTCATACAGTAATTTCAGGTACTGCAACCAATGCATATACTTGTTCATTTATTTCGTAGCTATTAGTAGCAGCGCAGATAGTCACATTCCCATTTTTTGATATTTTAGTCATATTCTTATTCATTTATGTTTTTTTTCTGTATTATCTAAGTTGAGAGTCTTGAATGAATAAAATATCTCAAATACTTTTGAAATAAAGAACTTGTAAAGATGCATATATAGAGCGCAATTATGGAGATTGATAAAGACGATGATGGCTTATAGAAACATATCGATTAATCTGTTTTTAGTCACTTCTGATAATAGTAATAATTTTAGAATTAGCAGTAATAGCAATCTTGTCGGCGTAAAAAATTTGCATATTAATATTAAAAGTGATAATGAATGGAACAAAAATCATAGTAACAGTGATAAAAGCCAAAACTGATGGATCACTCGACAGTAAAAGGATTGTGTTATTATTATGACTGCTTTTTTCAGTTGCTTGTAATTATAATTTTACAAATTATTATTGTTATTAATAAGATTACTGATAAAAAGAATAAAAGTTCTAATGACAATCATGATAATTATTGTTATTATTATCATTATTGTTATAATCATTATTAAATTTAAAATAGAAGTGACAGTGGAAGAAAAAAAGCAATAGTAACAGTTAAAGAAACAATTAAAGCAGCACAAACAAACTATAAATGATTCAATTCTTTGCTACCATATCAAATCCAATTTATACTTCTTGACATGCTTAATTTGAAAAACTCATAACCATTTTATTACAGTGCTTGATCTTGCGACTCTATTCAAAAGTAAAAACAAATTATTTCGCTCTCTACTTTACCTGTCATTTCAACTGATTACATTGCATTTTTTTCCCGCACAATACTTCAGCTAAGACTTACAGTATTAAAGCAGTCATAACCCTTGACCGCTCTTTCTCACCTTTCAGCACATATCATCCCCCACTAGCTTTTCACTCATCGGTAAATCCGTACCAGTCATTTACTCTCTAAACATAACTTTGCGTAACCGTTGTTGTCTTACAAAGTTGAAAATGATTATTACACTGATTCGAGCTCTTTTCAGGTTGCAAACAACTCTTCCAAACAGAATAACCTCCATTAATAATGAAGCAACTTCGAAAGAAGTCGTTCAGATAAAAATGGTAACATATTTAAAGAGGAGTTCGCTTGAGTAATGCTTTATCTGAACACTTATAATATTTTCAAAGGAAGGTTACTGAAGAAGCTTCATTAAAAAAATTTTTTTTTATTCAATTATTTTATGACCAATTTGAAAAACAATGCAATAACATATTAACTTTTTTTTAAAAAATTAAACAGTGATGTTTGTTTTACTGAAAATTTGAAGTACAGTATCTGGTAAAATCTAATCACCACTGAAAAATTGCAAGTATCTATTATTCACGCTATTTTTTTCAGAAATTAATTCTGCATAGTAATTTTTTTAATAGACGAAATGAAATTTAGCTTTCAAATATTGCAAGATTAGTCATGGTTTTCTATCATTTTTATGTGTTTGACATGTTATAGATCAAATGATACGTAATGGAACATTTCACTATTTTTGCACAGCACCTTCAATCACAATCCACAGTTACATGATAGTTGGAAACCATATCATGAGTACAATTTTAAAATAATTTTCAACCGATAATCGATATAGATGATCTAGTGGAATTCTTACGAGCCTGCAAAAGTTCGTTTTCATTTATTAAAAGATTATTATTCATGCAAAGTGATTGGAATAGAGCACAAACATCCATCACAACCCAGTAGTATTTCAAAAGAATTTATTAGTAACTTAAATTCTAATTTATTTTTGGTTATGGTTGAAGCAATATAGAAATGGACTTGTTCTACAGTGGAGAATAAATTTAAGATTTTTAGAATTCAAGCTTTTTTGCATTATTATAATGGTTTGTTTTTAAAAGCATTATAATGGTTTTAAAAGTTAAAATCTTATATTTATAATGCATTATAATGGTTTTTTAACTTTTTAAAAGTTTTTTAGGTCTGTTTTTTAAAGCACTAAATTTGAGAAGTTTAAAGAATACCTCTAAAATTTGGCGAATTTGTTGCGCCTGTTCTATCAGTTTCGTGATTTCTTTTTCTTCAGGCAAATTTGTTGGTTCTATCAGTTTTCGTACTGTTCGTAAATTATTGAAATTCTTCACAATTTTATCTAATTCATTGGCAACCTATGGAGTTTTCAAAATTATGGTGATAGAAGAACATTAAATATATATCCTGAAATATTTGACAACTCTTTACTTTTGATCACAACTTTGAACATTTAAACAAGCATTCAGAGATTTTGAAAGATTTTAAAAATTCTTGAAAGATCTCTTATTTTTGTGTAAAAATTATTAAGACCAGCAAAACTAAAGCAAAACAATATAAATTAATTCATATTAATGCAATTAAATGGTGTAAATTGATGAATTAGATTTACGCATGAGATTTTCATAAATATTAATTTGTTAATAATGACCATGTCAGAATAATAAAATAACATGGGCATGAAAAAGGTAAGCTAAATTTGACAAGTATTAAAATAATTAACATTTTTATTAAAAAATAGATGTTTTCACAAAAAATTTTTGCTTTGGGTTTGTACAGTAAAGTAATTAGCAAATGAATATGGTTTATACAATGCTGAGTGAAATTAAGAAGCAGTAACGTAGCTGTCAAAATATTAATAGCCTAAAAATTTGAAATTTAAAACGCAAACTAACAGCAGGAAGGTTCTTGAGATCTTTTACTGACCAACTTTCATTTGCTGAAATTATGAGCGTGCCTTTTTGCACACGAACAAGTCTCGCGAGCGCCATGATGTCAACTTTGGCTGCTATAGACTAAAAATGCTTATATATCCATATTTTCCGATAAAATTCAACTTAAAAATAGTATAAAGTCTTTTCAAAAAGTGTATAGTCGTCTGCAATTTTTATTCAAATCATTTGTCGGACAATATCACGAATTCAACTTGGTTTTAAAAATTTTTCCAGTCCTTCAATTTCTACGTTAAACAAACAATTTTAGTTTACATTTGTTTGTTTCATCCATTTAAAATTCTTGCAAGTTTTGAGAGTGTATCAAATCTAAATCAAAATGAATATCAAGGCTCGTTTGAGTTAAATCAGTTGTTGTGAATTATGATTTCCAATTTATGAAAAACAAAGCATGCTGAATTAATAATTAATTGCTGTGTAATGAAACAAGCAATCCATAATCAAATTTCAATATTCTTTCAGATTTTATCATACTTTGTTAGGTTTTTATGCTCGATGAAGTATTCATTTTCATGCTTACATGCATTTTCAGCGTTCTACCCTTTCTCGAAGTGGTTTTTTTGATTTCTGATTAACTTTTATAATTTTTGATGATAAATGTTTCATAATCATCTAATTGCTGAATTATTTAGCAAGTGTTGTGTATAAACAATACGAAATTAATTCAAACATATTTGAATCGTAGAATATGATGAAGTGAAACAATCATTAGAAACATTAGATCTCAATAAATTTTGCAGAAAATTCGAGATCGATCAAATCATTAAAATAAAAACTTGATAAAAGCCAGTATAAATATAAAAGTAATTGCATCTATGAAATGGACAAATGAAGCAATGATGTGAGGCTTATGCATTACGATATAACTAAATAATATTAGTACTAACGAACTTGCTTCGCCAAATTATGGTAGTCACTAAAATTGTCTCGCATTAGTTCCACCGCTTTGATTTTGCTTCTAAAGTTATGTGCCATGTAAATCATCGATTTGTGTTGCTTTTTCAAACAATCCATTAAATTATGAACACCTACAATTTTTAATTCCTTTCATCCACATATCAGGCGATTCAAAATTACGAAAAAATTTCAGTATGTTTTCTAATTTTTAAACTTTATTCAGTTATTTGAATTCTTTTATTCAAATTTTAAATGTTCAATTCAATATCTTTTACTTTTGTAAGTGCTTATTATTCTGACTACGTCTATATTTTGACTTTTATCACTATTTTAAGGTGCATTTTAGTGTGAAACAGAATAAGTAGATGATGGATTTGTAGAATATTTCATATTTCTAAAACCAAGTTGTACAAAACGTCGACACCATTTTGGATGGGACAGGCGTTGAAATTGCAAATTTTCTTGAACACTGCCATATGCTGCCTGATTTCAGTCTCAGTTTCATCAGTAATTTGAATAAGCTAAACATGTTATAAATACTATTTAATCAGAAGTATCTATTAGGCAACTGCTTTCCAATATAAGTTTAAACATTTTTGTGCAAGGAGTCAGTAGGTAGATTTGCACTACCCAAACATAATTAAAATAATAGTTTTATTTCTACACTCATTTACATATTTTCAAGGTGCATTCTTCGTATTATCTATGTCATTTCAATTAACTGGTCAACTAATTTAGCCATACGATTGCAAAACTTGGATAAAGCTTAATTTTGTTTCTGTCTTTGCAGATTATTTCTAAATACAATACAAAAAATTACGATTTTCACAGCAGCATCAATACGGTCAGATGCAGTGTCGAGCTTTTTTGCAAAATCAGCAGTTCGTTGAATATTTCTTGGCCTGGTGTTTCCTATTAACTTCTTGTAATAACTTGCCATAGTAGTCACCTCCCAAAGACTTAACTGTTTTGTACGTCGACGAAATTTGTACTAAAACGTTTCGCCATGTTCACAGCAAACTTTTTTCTTATTGTAATTCACTAGAAACTCCAAATCTCGTGACTAACCGGATATAAAGTTTTGTTAAATTGAATTCGAACTATTCTTGGATCATAATCTCGAGTGTCACTGAAAAATTTTGCAGAAGATTTGCACAAAAACGTTTTGAATTTTCGCAAAACGAATTAGTAACAACATTCAAAGATAATTAAGTACTCCTTTTTTATATTTATAAGGTTTCAAAATTTCGGACAAGTCAGCATTTTATTCAGGAAACTATATGTGGAACATGAACTGCTTCTAATTATAACCATATGGATATAGCATGTTTTACATTTCATTATTTTGCTGCTGATTGTCATAATTGCTTATAATTAACAATAAAAATAAACTAAGGATCTGTGCAGTGTCTATGCTACAAAAGAAATGCCTAGCTCAAATTTCAGAGCAAGAAAAGTGTGAATCTAAGGACTTGTTTGGAAATCGAAATTCCCATGTAATAGTACACTTTAAATGTTTGAACAGATAAGACAGTCAGATAACTAGTTGATACCGTTCCTCTCGAAGTGCATGCGGAAGTGGATAATTAGATGTCATCATGAATCGGTGCTAGTGCTACGTTTTGTCTAAAAAATTTTTCTGATTAAAAAATTTTGATGAAAACCTCAGACTTATAACAATTCAAAAATATTGCGGAAATTTGCATTAAATGATAGAAGAACAGCTAATTTATGCAAATAGCTGCAGTTTCTTAAAATATTTTTATTAAATTGCAAAAAAGAAGTGCTCCTAACTAAATTAAGTTAGTTGAACTAATTTTTGCAAGTGTTTCTTTCTTTTTTTGTTGCCACATCAAGAATATTTTTAGCAATTAACTCAAATCATTATAAACGACAATTCAAGAAAAATGATATTAAAAAAACTAGCAGTTAGTGTTGTCGAGTTTTCATTTGAATTTTGAAACATCTATTTTTGAGCAATAACCGGAAAATTTTAAGTGACATACATCTTGTAAAATTGTGCTTTTATTAATGATAATAATTATTATTATTGACTTATGGTGATATCACCTAAGTTTGAGGTAACTGTGGACGAAAGATTGTGCCTGTTCTTGGACGAAACAACCTTTTCGCGTAATTTATGTCTCTATTCTTTTCTCTGCTCTACCTCTGTCTGTTATGGCGATGTTATGATGCGACGATGGAAGTGAATGGCGGAAATACCAGTGCGAGCAGTTGCGACAACGATCGTAATGGTATAGACAGCCAACAACGCCAGAACGGTGGATATGGTAGCAGTACGAGAGAACATTCCAGCAGACCAGTAGATCGGTTAACTAATGGCTGGGAATGAGTCTGAAGGACTTTTCACATCACAGACGAATTCCAAGAAGCGAAAAGGCGCGACAGACCATAACGACAATGCTGACGTCATTTTTTGTTCCAGTACTTCTGAAGCAAGGAAGACGAAACAAGGGAAGAAAGTGAAGATTAACACGCATGGCACGAATGTAGCGAAAGAAAAGCCCGTTGCGAAACGAGATGGAAATCAAAAGGAGGAAGACTGCGGAGTCATGCAGTCAGCAAATCAGAAGTCCGGGAAGGAAATAGAGGATGAACGGAGAAAAACCGCATCTGGTATCATAGTGGAATAAAATGGGAAAGCAGATGAGGTTGTGAAAAGCTCTGTGAAAGATGTCGGAGAGCACTCTGCCAGCTTACCGAAACTGGGAATGATTAGGATGATCACGCTTGAAGTTATCACTCGAGGAATCTCGAGGAATCGAGATTCTGCACAACAGCTGGCCAGGTGAAGTGCTGAAGGTGGTTCTTGACGGTTTCGGGAGAGGCCGAGTGGGGGACGACCGTTGTGTCGTTCCCCGTATTGCAAGAAGTTTGAGTGTGCGATCAGCTTTGAAGAACTGAAGAACAAAGCAAATGCCGCAATCATCAGTATTGCAGAGCGTCCGTGTTCGCAGAAACGGTTCTTGGAGGAGTCAACGAAACGTGTGTCAAAACACAACATATGTTCTTCGAGCAAAACAGTGCTGATGTAAGAACTATAAGGATGTGAGATAGACCAGATCAAGTGGATGTAGAAAATAATATCGGAGAAAGTTGACTCGCTTATACTTGGAGTGGTGAACCAAGTAGCGGGTGAGTATGCCAACACAAAGTCCCTCCACGTTCGACTGATCTTGAAATCCAATTCCAGGTTGCACAACAGTGCTATCAAGATATTACAAGGCTTGAAAAGAAGTCATCGACGTGGAAGGCAAACATAGAAAAGAAGATAAGTGAAAATAACCTCCACAAAACATTCAAAGAGCGGTATTTGGCCGGTGAAGTACTTGAATGTGAAAACCTGAAGGAGGCCGAAAAGTGTATGAGAGGCATGAATCTCATATGACTGTCATAAGGCCTTGAGCATGCTAATAGAACGTGTGAGAGTTTACGAAAATAAAATAAAAAGTTATGAGGTTCGATGTGCTTTCAAAATTCAAAACGCCAGCTTTGAGTTGTTCAGAAAGTAGTTTTATAGAAAACAAATTGAGGAACAACCTGTTAGCCACAATGTAGGGACGGAAGAATTCAGGGAATTCTGGGCCGCGATGTGGAACTCGAAAATGGGGGACGATGCACGATGAATATCTAGAAGAATTCGTTCCAGACTCTGAAGTGCACTATACTTTCCCATCTGAAGCCGAATTTTGGAAGATAGTTTCCTGTTTGCCCAACTGGAAATTGGCGGACTCTGATGGAATCTACAACTTCATTAAGTGCACCTCCTTATATCCAGATCTGTATAAAATAACTAGGTGGATCTGCTTGGATGGAGAGGGACAGGACCCATGGTTCTATAAAGGAACGACGTATCTGATTCTAAAGATGTCCCAAACAAAGGTAATAACTTTGGCCATTCATCTGCATGTCAAACCATTACAAGTTGACAACGAAATGTGTGGCACGAGTCATACAGCTAGATATTGCCACGAGAAAATTACTTGGAGATAACCAATTAGGAACTGTTGGAAAGGTTCAAGGTGCGGAAGAGCAGGCATTCTTCAACCTGGCCGTATGCAGAGAGCATGGAAAACAGTTATTTACCACGTGATATGACGTTAAGGAAAGCGTTCGATTCAGTGAGTCACAACTATTTAATCAGGTGTATCGAAAGACTCAACATGCCAGAGCAGCGATTCTGAAGCAGGAGAAAGCTCATAACACATTCTTGGCAATTATTATACCCTATCTAACGACTAAGTATAACCTCGCAGAAAATCCTATCGTAGAAAACGTATTAGCAGCTCAGAAGGCGTTCTTGTATAGCGAAATAGAAAAGAAAACCTACCATGCAAAACTATACAAGATGCAGGCGAATAAAATCTCGTCCATAACTGATTCATCATAATGGCTGCGATACGGAAACCTTACCCCGCAAGATGAGGTACGATACTGTTATCTTCAAGATTGAAATATGTTTGGAGGTGAGAAAGGTATGGGGCCAATATTGTAGAGAACGCTTGAAGACGGTGAACCATCTAGCAACGCAGTGTGAAAAAATGTTACATCACGACTATACTAGAAGACACAGTGAGGTCCTACGATGCATTCACTTGGGACTCTGTAAGAAGTATGGTCTGAAAGCATTTCCGCGCTTGCGAAACCACTCTGTTCAGGAGCTCGTCGCAAATAAGAATGTTGAGATCAGAATCGATATGCGAGTGAGAACTGCAATAAGAATAAAAGCGGATCGACTGGATATCATGATACACGATAAGAAGCGACGTGAAGTAATCCTGACAGAGGTTGGCATCACTGGTCAGGACAGGTTGATAGCAGTAGAGACCGAGAAGAAGCGAAAGTATGATTTACTGGCTAATAAACTCGGGACAGAGATGAATTGCAGGATGAAAATAATTTCGTAGTGATGACTTGGAATGAAATAGTGACGAACTTCCACAATCGTTACGT